GCTGCCTGTTTCGTGTGTCAACAATAACACTTGTAGAAATTTCCTTGGATACAGAATTGAGAATCTAATAGATAACAACGTTGTTGTTGTTGTTGTTGTTGTTGTATATCCATGAATTGAGTAACTCCAGATCATTTTCACGTCATAGAATGGATCCATTGATGAATCCCAACTTATTCTTCACTGATAGTGTGATAATCATCGATTGACTCCAAGATGTATAGTTGTATCTAGTCAATTGCTGTGAGACAAGAACAATGCTTGGATTATCTGAATGATGGAGAAAATATAGACTGGTTCCATCATTAATTGCCGAATTGCTTGCCGATGATGAAGAGTTGTTGGGTAGTGGATTTGAAGGATCTGAAACCATAAGCCATTGTTGTTCAGAAGTTTTGATCAACAGATTTGCTAATAAAGATATCACCGCTCTAATACTATATTGAAGAACAAGTTTGTAAAACGGAGGGAGTTCTTTATTCAAATGAAAACGAGTTACAGCCATTGTATAAATAGAATTTGTGAGCTAATTGGTAGTTCACAAATAGCTGTGCAAACTAATTACTATCTGATTTACAAGCTGCAGCAGCTAATCAGCTAACTAACCAATGTTCTAATATTGAATTGAAGAAGCCATGTAATCCTACATTTGAATGATCAATTCAAGGCACTAGCTGTTTCTAGCTCCTCATAAAGAACCGTCCGATTCTTCAATTCAAGAAGACACTAGATTCCAGCTCCTCTTCAAAATCAGCACCTCGTTAATTGGGATCTTGCATTAAAATAAAAAATAAAAAAACTATTACAAATAGATGAAGGGGAAAATCTTGTGACATTTAATCGAAATACTATTATTCCTTGAAAAAAACATGTAAGCTTTGTAAGTCATGCACTTCATTTTACAAAAAGCAAGTTTAACTTTTAAACCAAACTTTCCTAACTAAACCTAAGGGCTGAGAGTTTTATTTTCAACGATTTTGGATGGCAGCATCTATGAGGAGTTAGAATAATCGGTGCTTGCTAGATTTTTTGGACACTGAATCTGATGGTTTAAAAACCATCCAAAAATGGCGTAGTTTAATTTTGATCGATTCTCTTAACCCATCAAATCCACAATTTTTTACCATTTCTCAATATTTTTTTATAATTTTACTCTTTATAAAACAATTATTTTCAACAAACATATTTTGTTTAATACTAACTTTATTTTGTTTAATACTAACTTATAAATAAAAATATACTAACTAAAAATATATTTAACTAAAAAAATTGTATTATAATTAAAAATTTACTTATAAGTAAAATAAAAAATTATTTTGTTTAAAAATCTTACTAATAAGACAAAAAAAATAGTTATAAAATATAAAAAGTTACTTGTAAGTAAAAAATTCGCTTATATGTAAAAATTATTTAAAAGTACAATATTAACTTATAATTATAAAGTTCATATATAATTATAAAATACTAACATAAAATTTTAGTTAAATATTGAACTTTATTTAATTTATAAGTAAAATATCACCAATAAGTAAAAAATTTATATAAGAAACTATAAACTAAAAATTTCACTAAAAAATATATACGTAACTTAACTTTCTTTAACTATTTAAAAAATCGCTGCTAAAAATCACTCTTAATATTGTGACTCATCTCATAATCACAATACTTTAAAATACGATACAAACTCCCAAGCAGCCCTGAATGTGTTAGGGATGGCAATTCGAACTGTTAAAATCGAAAACCACAATTAACCGAATTGAATGAGTCGAAAAAAATCGAATCGATGGCGCAATTGGGAGATTGTGGTTTTGATTTTAATGACCCAGTTTGGGGTGTAACGGGTATGGTATTTAACAACGGTACCCTACCCTGAACCGATTACCCATTAAAAAAAATTAATTGGGTAATTGGATTTTCCATTATTTTTTCCCAAAATTAATTTGACAATTGGGCTTTCTCAAAATTCTGACACAATTAATATTACTAGTAAATCTTTAACTCAGTAACTAGAGGAGGACACAGAAATTTATAGCTGGGGGCACAATCGAAATTACAAAGAAGTTGAGAGAAATTTTACAATCGAAAATTTAAGTCCAAAAAAATCATAACCCGTGTAATTTTGCATCCGAAAATTTACTTGGGATATAAATTTTTCGAATGTAAAATTTTGAAAATTTTTGATATTATATTCCAT